TGTTTTTCTTCTGTTCATACTAATACCCTTGTTTTTGAGTTACTATTACAAATGTGTCCCATCATGTCTTAAAGTTAAGATTCTTTTCAATGATTAAAAATCTATGTCAGCATATCGCATGCTGTTCATATTACGCCAGTCAGCCAGTTTTCAGTATTGGAGACACTGAAATGTGAAAAAAAAAATTCATTCAAGAGAGCTCTTCCTGCCCTGACTCCAGGCATTCCAGGAACAGAGAAAAAAAGGAAGAAGGCCATGCATAGATTTAAATCATTATTTCACTGTGCAAATTAAATAAACTAGGTGGTAATACGTATCCTTGTCTAACGACTTGTTTAAAGTTTTATAAAGTTTCAACTTCGTTGCCAATTCTGATGGCTGCATCTTGTTGCCAATATATAGTTTTAGTATTATCATTATATAATTCTCAGATCTTTACCATCAGTGTTTAATTTTTCCAAAATTCTAATAATTTTTTTTTTTTATGTTTCACTTAATCAAATTTAGTTTAATCAACAAAGCACAAACACATCTCTGTTCATTCCAATTAATACTTTTGTAAAAATTCTCAAGATAAATATGGCGTTTTTGTGCTTTTACTGTCAATAAAACCATGAAAGAAGCAGGAAGCAGAATTCAGGAAAAAAAAAAAAGCAGAGGTCATTAGGAAAACATTTTATGCGTTAAATTCACGCCAAATGTCCTTTTTTTTCTTCGCTTTGTTGTTGTTGACGTCATTCAAAAAATACAATGGCATTAAACATGTTTTAATTTTTTTTAAATTATTTTTTTTTATAGAAACAAGCGGGACATTTGATCCTACTCTACACAATCGGATACAGCATATCCCTGGTTTCGCTGGTTGTGGCTGTGGTAATTATGCTACACTGGAGGTAATCAATCAGCAAATTTGTATCCTCACATTTTCAGTAATGCAATCATATCTTTTTTATTCACAGTAAACAGTGAGTTAGAGCTCCATAAACAATTAGTTCTTCTGGTTATTTAAAATGAGTCGCTTCTTGAAAAAAAAGCACCAAAAACGTTACACAGGGTATAATCTTATAATCTCAGTATAATAATCTAATAGCGAAAGCTACACACATAAATGAAATATGCCCTCAGTGTCCTTCGAAAGAGAAAGAGTATGAAGGACCCACCTCTATTGATACTAACGGTAACGACCCCACCAGTCCCTGGATCGATTTTTGCACAACTTCAGGGCTGGCACGCTCTTCTTGGATCGGAAGGTCATGGTTTCGCTTTTTGACGAAGCCGGATTTTTTTTCTTAAAAACTGACCTGGCGCACAGGTCGACTCAGCTTTGAGTGGGTAAGAGGCGCAGTCCCGAGAAGTAAAGGCGGCATGCGTGATGCTGACCACATCCCCCATCTTGTGCCGATAGGTATATAAAATATAGGTCTTGCCCTATATACCCTATACGCCTAAGGCGTGGAAAACGGTTCTTTACATTTCTTACATGGCTGTCAATGTAAATGTGGAAAAAACGTCACAGGGTTGCATGGTCTGAGAACGCGTTCAGGAAGGATGAAATGCGAGTGTGCGTTGGCTCATAGCTACTCCTGTAGTTAATGAGTCGTCAGGGAACGACGGGCAGGGTGAACCCCACTTGCCCCGGGGAGGCCTAAGACGTCAATTACGGAGGCGCACGGCTGTGCGATGAACAAACCAGAAGCTTATCACTCTGGTCGTAAAGGTAGTCAACTGATCTAATTTGCTAACGCAGCAACAATATAACACCAAATCTCACAACGCCTGTTGCAAAGTCTCTGCAGCGTCTTGTCCTTATCAAGTCAGATGAAGTGCAGCAGGGGAAGATCAGGGCCTGGCTTCATGACCCAGGTCGGCCCACCTCCCGAGAATGTTTAGGGAAGTAATGGGCCGAAACAATTGTCGACGAATGATCTATACTAGTGACAGGTGGACCCCTGCTGTGCATGCTCCCGTGTGGAGTTCTTCTCATTGATGATCTTTTCAGACGCTAAGCTCTAAACCTATCTGCAGACATTTCCCCCCTCTGTATATATTGTTTTTCCTACCCACTTGTTCTACAAGCAACACGATCTATGGCGTCCTGTTACCACGAATCTTCCTCAATACGTGTATTATTCATGTCCCGCTGGCATACATAAACGTTTCTATTTTAAGAAAGACAGACCTCGTCTTCTACTAATCTATAATTCACCATAGAGGATGTCCTTAGTGCTCTACCACGGCCCTCCGTCCTTCAAGTGTATGCTAGCTTTTAGAGCATTCCAAGACTTAGCATTAAAAAAAACTGTTTATTATCAGTCAGTTGCCGTCTCCACAGTGAAGGTTGGCTGCAATGGATCTCCAACACGCTCTGTCTCTTGTCTTGCTTATACACACTCTCAGACTGCTGCCGGTCCATATCTTAATCTTGTCCTCCCACTTGTATCGTTGCCGACCTCTTGCTCTCTTGCCTTCGACCTCTCCCTCCAGTATGGTTTTTAAAAGCGTGTTATGTTTTTTAATGTGGCCGAAGTAATTCATTTGTCTTTTTTTTTTTTTTTCAAAATTACCTTTTCATTTTTAGCCTTTCCAGGACCTCTTCCATGAAATACGACCTATTCTTCTGTATACCCCCAGCTCCAGAGACTCAATTCGAATTTGTAGCTGCTTGTTAATTGTCCACGTTTCTGCACCGTACAACACGATTGAGTTTACATAGTACAGACGGTTCTCATTTCTAGTGTGTTGTTTATCTCTCTAGCTGTCACTAACTTGTGCATCTTCCTGGACACAGTTTTAGCCATGTGGTCATGTCTATCCAAAATCTTCTTTCTCACATACTTTCAATGAGTTCTGACACAGATGATCTTCTATGATATGATGTCAAACTTTCCAGCATCTTCTCTCTCAAAGTCTCTACAATTTCCCCCCTCCAACTTCAGCACCGTCACGATTTACTACACTTCTCTCCTTTTTATGACATGATCAAGAATGTCGATTGTCTCCTTCGGATATGGGCAATCAAGTCTCTTCACGAGTCAGTTTCTTTGAAGCTTATAAGACCACATCCCCGCCGCTTCCAAATAATTGTTCACTTTTAATCTTACAGTCCATAATTCATGCAGTATAAATTAGTAGTGAGGAAACGTTTTCCTACATATACTCATTATCATTATGTAGCAGGTCCTTTGCAGAATGCCGCACTCTTTTACGTCTTTTCCTCTGCCAATTTTCATCTCTTCGTGACCTTTCATATCGAGGGTGTTCAAGAAATAGTGTCCGTCGTACGGACTAACTAATTAACTCGCCTTCTAGGAACCATACCCATCCCCTGCCTCATTACTGTTCTTTCCAACCTATTAAGGTGTTAAATATGGCAGAAGTATTTATGTTTACAAGAAACGATTCCGTTTATGAGCCACTAGAGTAAAGGGTCCTTTTCCGCGCGTCAGAGCATATTAGACTTTCAGTGCTAGACTGTTATTTTAAAGCTTGATCGGCACTTAGTAGTTGATGTGGTCACCAACACGTCGATCGCCTTTACTCGCCAGGACTTTTCCAGGTACACATTCAAGACTGGGTCGACCTTGGAGCTAAGGTATTTTTGAAAAGAAAAAAAAAGGGGGGGGGGGGAGCTGGCGCCTTTCGGATTTGAACCTACGACTGTCGGATCCGGAGATTAGCATTTAGCAGTTAGACTTTGGTGATTAGCATTAAAAGTGTATTAATATTGGCACTGAAAGTACATGGGGTAGAGAGTTGGGTAGGGAAAGGTTTACTTTCAGGCGTGCCGTGAAGAGAGCGACGTTCGGTAAAGGGCCTGATGAGTGATGAGTGTATTATAAACTCTGTTCCAGTATTTCAAGTATAGAACTATGTAGTTTTCTAATGGAATATTCAGTTATACGGTATGTCTGTCTGTCACGATAACTCAAATTATATTACAAAGTTAATGGACGCGTTTCGACTGAATGAAAATTGATGTTTACAATCAACTGTCAAAGCAGAAAAAAATTCATATAATATTTTTACACATTCTAACTTTTTTTTCGTTACATTGTTATTTTTGCTAGTGTGTGCTTGCGGCTATAATGCAAAACAACTTTAAAAAAAAAAAAAACAGTCGTCGTTGTGGCGCCCCCCCCCCCCCCCCTTCCACCACATTATTAGAAGAGAAAAAAAAAAAACTACAACATGCTGGGAAAACTGGTTACATTATTAATGTATGAGGAATAGGAAAAGACAGAGAGAAAATATTATTGACCGCCATTTGCCATGTAGACGAATTGCCATATACTGTTGGCGTTCACAAAGTATGAGAGAGCATGCTCGAAAACAACGGTTAACTAGACACTTGATAATAGTTTGCAATCCCCACTATATATATATATATATATATATATATATATATATATATATATATATATATATATATATATATATATATATATATATATATATATATATATGTAAAGTAAATGACTTGTTTTACAGCATTCGCTTATCTGGCATATGGCGTTATGCCCACATTTGTATAAAGAATGCGACAGTTCATGGCTGATTGGTCAACAACAAAAATGATCGCCTGCTTTAACTTTCCGAGACATTTCATTGGTACCCATTTTAAGCTGGTTTGGCCTGAGTACCTTAATTCAGTTACACAAATCTGCCTTAATACGACTTCAGACCCAAAAACTTGGGTGGGAAATATCTCTGGTACAGTAAATTATTGTCGAACCAGAGGTCAACCACGCATTATCTGTACCACTGAAAGATCTGAAACACTGGAAAATACTACATATGAAGCGAACAGAATAGTCCGTTGCAGAGATCTCTTCCTGTCCTGACGCTGCGAGGCATTCCAGCAGTGGAGAAAAGAAGAAAAAGCAGAAGGTATTATTGAAGAACTAATTTTTTTTATACTACTACAAAATGTGTACTTGTCATTTGATCCTTTACCTCTCTTCTCTTGTCTCTTTTCTTGCTGCCATTCCTGGGGAGTGAAGACGTCTACACTGCAAGAGCATTACACTTCACATCAACCTCTTCCTCGCCTTCATTCTGAGGGCCTCCATCTCATTCATGAAAGACCGCCTGTTGGTCAACGGACTAGGACTTCCACAAGACGTCAAACACAACGGAGGGGGTCTGGAGTTTATACTGGAAGGAACAGTAAGACAATTCTTGTACACTATTTCCGTTGTTCTAGCGGTATACGTCTTTACAGTAGGTTTCCTAATTTCCTGTATAGTGAGATATGTCGCAACTAAATGGGGCTTTCTGCTTCAAAATGGAGCCAGAGTTAATTAATTTCACACAGAATGTGACGTGTCTATTGATAGTTTTCTGATTCACGACGGCTTAATTTATTTCTGTAGCTCGTTTATGTCTTCGTTGTTATTCTCAGATCCTAACTACCTATGTTTTTACATTAGCATTTGATTGAATGTATATGTTATAGTATGCCCCCCCCCCCCCACCCACCTTATACACCTTTCTGTCTAAATTGGTCTTTCTTTCCTACAGGTAATAGTGTTTTCATTGTCTATGATAACGGAAAGTTTCAAGCAGCGGCCTATAAACCTAGGATCCCAGGACCCTGTCACCAGCTCACCCATTATATATACACACACACACACACATATATATATATATATATATATATATATATATATATATATATATATATATATATATATATATATAGTGTGTGAGCATGTGTGTGTGTGTGTATATGTCTGTGTGTGTGTGTTATCACTGTCGACGTCTTTCGTATTTGTGCTCAGGCCTCCGATGCAGCAGCAGTCACTCCAATGGACCTGTAGTGATTGTCCCCATGAAAAGTTGGTTATAGTATGTCTTATCCGCAAGCTATATATTTGTATGTATACATAGTAAAACCTCGTTAACGCGAATCCTAAGGCACCGATAATTGAATTCGTGTTAAGAAAAAGTGTGGATTAATGATCATAATATACTTGCGTTCATGTTCTTCTTAATTCAGTTTGTGTTACGGAGGTTCTATTGTATATCCTTGCCCCTAGCTCTGCGTTCTACGAGCCCTATCTTTTGATTAACTAGTATAATTTTAAAGATTCTTGATTATTGTCGCTGAAAAAATTTGTGTTTTTATGTGTATGGTGCTTTGTCAATTGGCAAGCCGTTCTCCGGAGACACCATAAGTCATATGGCACGAAACCTGGCTCAATTCGGTCGACCCTGTCAAATATAGTTCAAACCTTTACATTTGAATATGTTTCTCCTATGTCCGATATGTAGTAACCGATAATGACAGAAGTGAAACAGAAATCAGAAAGATAACAGGAATGGCTAATACTGTCTTCAAAGAGATGCGTAAATTATTGAACGCTGGAGAGGTCAGCAACGCATTAAAAGAATGAGAGTACTCAAATGGTATATATACTCTACCCCGCTGTATGGTGAAGTAAACTACAGAAGAATAGGTCGTATGTCATGGAAACAAAAATAATCAAATGTGACAGATCGTAGAAGGCTGCAAACAGGGAGAATTATTGAAAGAGATTAAAAATAAAGAGAGATAATTTAAATATTCTGGCAAAAATTATAGACAAAGCGATTTCAAAAATCACACTAGAGGAAAAGTTCAAGAACAAGTGATCAAGAGGTAGACAGCGTTACAAGTGGAGGTAGAACATCAAAAGATGGTCGAGCAGCAGTCTGATAGAGTGTTCAACTAAGAGACAGAGCGTGCTGGAGATCCATTAAACCAACCTTTATTGTGTAGACGACACCTCAGTGAACTGCATTTGAATACTTGTGTGGTGAATGAAAGTCTAACATGTGTCTCGCTTGTGTTCGGGTGTTCGTCACGTGCTCGAAACCTCACCGAGAGAGGCAAATAAGTCGTACAATATGTTCTAAGCGCCGGAATGATATTTACCATCACACTATCCAGCACAGCACGGTCAGAAATGTGTGGCTAGAACTGTATACATACACACATACACACACACACACACACATATATATATATACATACATTTTTATATATAACATACATACATACATACACACACATAAATACATACATGCATACATACATACATACATACATACATACATACATACATACATACATACATACATACATACATACATACAGACAGACAGACAGACAGACAGACAGACAGACAGACAGACAGACAGACAGACAGACAGACAGACAGACAGACAGACAGACAGACAGACAGACAGACAGACAGACAGACAGACAGACAGACAGACAGACAGACAGACAGACAGACAGACAGACAGGCAGACAGACAGACAGACAGACAGACAGATATATATATATATATATATATATATATATATATATATATATATATATATATATATATATATAAAAGACATAAAGACAGACATACAGACATGCATGTATACATATATACATACATACATAAATTTACACAGAGTTAAAGTATATCCTTGACTGTTTAATGTTCATATGTTTTCATATTTCACATGTTTTCCCCCCATATCCATCAGCACTGGGAATGCCGGACTCTGTTTGTGATGCTGATGTTTGCCATCTCGGCCAGTCAGACTTGGATGCTAATGGAGGGGCTGTATCTCTACCTGCTCATCCACAAGACGATGGCGACTGAAAGGCTGGGTGTCAACCCCTATGTCATAGTTGGCTGGGGTATGGTGTGTGTAAAATGGGCTTTCGTTTCAATGTTTCTGTTACAACAACGACTATCTCAGTGCCCTGTCCAACCAGTGTTGTTCCTGTCTTTCAACTGACTGATTTCCACGTCTGGGTTCCGTTACCCAATTGTGAGGGGGGGGGGGGTCGTGGGGTGGGGTGGGGATAACAGACCCACTGCTGCCCTAAAAAGAAAAAAAAAACTCGTCGTAAGAGTCGACTAATTAGGGGTTTCCTTTGAAGTCGGATTGCATCTGCCTTAGAGACAATGAACGGACAGTCTATATAATTCATATTTGTGATATCCAAGTGCACGCAAAACTCAAGTTCTGGAAAAAGATTAAAGTCCAGAAGTGGACGACGAACAGCCAGGACCTTTCGCCAGAGTTTACAGCCGCTGACCGCGAAGAAGAAGACGAACTGGCTGACTTTCTTTGTCTTTCTGTTGACTGATTAGTATGATCTCTACGGTTTTAATATATAAGCATACAATATTTCAGCATTTAATATTGCATTGTGCTTATAACGATTTTGTCTGCTTTCATTGTCATCTCAGTCTATGTACGTTTTGTTCCTTTACAGATTTGTCACTTGGTGTCACACATTTAGTCATTCAATTTATTCATTACCATTTTCCACGTTAAATATCACTCATGTAAATATTTCCTTTTCACTGGTTTTCTCATGCTGCTTCTCAGCCCCCGGCATGTTGTTAGTTAAGTGTTAGGAACTGCACAATCACTTAATGTTTCATGAAAGCTGTAGACATAAGGAGATTTTTTTTTTTTAAGAAATAAGCTGGTGTTGAAATAAAAGTTTAAAATACTTGCGAGAATAACTTTATTCGTTTTGTGAATGAGTGCATGCATGCATGAATGAATGAATGAATGAATGAATGAATGAATGAATGAATGAATAAATGAATGAATGAATGAATGAATGAATGAATGAATGAATGAATGAATGAATGAATGAATGAATGAATAAATGAATGATGAATGAATGAATGAATGAATGTGTCCTTGCAATATCTGATTCAATCAGCCATCTTCACGTAAACATAATGAAAAAAACATTGTTCTGTAAATCTATGCAGGGAGCCGTAGTGGTGTAGCAGCTAGACGCTTGTGGGTTCGAATCTATATTGAGCCGGCCTTTTTTTTTAATAATCGACCTTGCTTCCCAGGTCAACCGATCCTTCGGTAGGGTACCAGGTGAAGTTTGTGAAATAAAGGGGGCTGGTGTGCTGTTGGTCACATTACGCACCGAGTGCCGATGGGTCTATAAACTGTAGGTCTAGCCCTATATGTCCCAGTAGGTCTGAAGACGTGGAAATGAGTCCTTTGCTTTTAAATGTATGCATATTAGACACACACAGCTTTGTGTAGTGTTTAAGACACCATTAGCCAATATGTAAAAGTATACATAAACATTCATACAACTGTGGCAAGCTACTAAACTAAAAATTGCCTTGTAAAACCACTAACAGCCAACAAATGCTGGGATTTTTCTACATCCTGTGAGAGAAATGTCTGGGCAACCACTAGCATCAACAGTTATAAGACAGAACAGATTACTTGACATTGGACACATCCTAAAAATAAACCAGCAGGAAATGTCCAAACAGGCAATACAACGGGAAATAAACGGATTAAAGAGACAAGGACGACCAAAAGAAACCCTAAGATGAACGTTGATGAGGGAGGTCAAAGCTGCTGTACTGGATTCCATCCATGACATTGAACTGATTGCATAGCATACAGCCAGCATAGAATGCAGGATAAGTCTGCAAGCCCTGTCTGACATATAATTCCACAGCAGGATAATAGCTATATTAAATGTAAGGGATCTGCAAATAATTTTTAAAACAGACTGAAAGAGTAGCTTTCAATCATAATCGCTCTGGTTTATATGGGATAAAGTGAATGTGAAATACATCGCTTAATTGCTTAACAAAGCTTTTTGCGTGCTGTGAAATCGTGTAATCTATTGTAAAGTTCACGGAGCCTTGTTTCCTAACTAATTATAACTGTATTGCAGCCTTGCCATGGACTTTTCTCATACCCTGGATTGTTGTCAAATCCAACTTTGAAAACACATAGTAAGTAAAGTTCTGCTGTATAAATGTCAGACACTGTTGTTTTTAAGATGTGTATACATAAGCATCAAAATTTCTTTTCGCTTTTAGCATTTTCACAAATTACTTACTTATCTTGCCATATCTTGCAGCTGCAGAAACATATATATATATAGTTACATGTCTAATATAGTTAGGCTATGAATCTTTGAAGTATAGTGAACATTATTGTAAAGGCACTAGAATCGTCTCAGAAGAAAACTATTTTATAATTTGATTAACGATGATGAAGTACAATCGTAAAACTCCATTAGATTTTTTTAAAAAGTATGTCGCCTGCAGATTTGCATTTACAAATCACAGAAACCCGATTAACCCTATAGCCATTTAATATATAACAAGCACAACACTGAGAATTAATATGCGTAAGACTCGATCAGAGAATATCAAATCATATGGCCCCAAAAATATACAAATGTAAAACATTTCTCACTTGAATCAAGTCTCAGTGGTTCAAATGTCTAGCCAGTATGTTGAAGCTTGATGCTTAGAAACACCCTCAAGGATTTATCGGCTTCTATATCAGTTTACAATGGAAGTCAAGCAATAACAAAAAAAATTCCACATGATATCCCAAAATTTGCTATCAGTGTCAAACTCTGTCGCTATCGACATTTCCCCAGAGAAAGAAACCCCCCAAGAGAGATGAAATGATTGAGAAAGACTGCATGGGGTAAATGATGATATAGAATGTTCAATTACTATCTGAACCATGAAATTCCTAATGGTGTGCATTGATCTGGTCGACAGACAACAAACATTGTTTTCTTCATATTCTAGTGAGGATGAAAATAGGTCAGTTAACAATAACTGAACTGTACTATTATCACTGTGTAAAGCTAAAGGTGCTGTTTCCATACCATTAAGCGTATTTGGTATATAATGCTAAGCCTACATTTTTAGACAGCACTCGGTGGGTGATATTGTCAACATCGCGCCGGGTGCCTTTACTTCCCATTGCTGTTACCTGTTACCCCTTAAAGGTTTAATTTAGACTGGAGCCAAGTTCATGTTCGTAAAATTCTGGCTCGAGTCGGATTTGAACCCATGACTTTAAGATCTGCATGTGAGAGGCTAGCCGCCACCCAACGGAGACTGTTATCATTGCGTGCCGTGTGAATGATATGAGGGTTCATGACTGGTCGGCTCACACGAACACACGGGTCTTGGTGAAATTGTGTTTACGTTATAATTATCCCATGAGGCCATGCCATGCATGAATTTATCTCTGTTGTCCTCTTGCTCCCTTGCATTGGATTTGCCTGCTGTGTCTGTTTTTTCCCATGTATTCCTCCGCAAACTCAATGTTTTACTTTCTATGCCTAATTTATATAAGTTGTGAATTCTTCCCCTTTGTTATTGTTGTGTAGTTTATGTCGGGAAAAGCCCCTGCCAAAACGTCGATCTGTGTATTTTGTGCAGGTTCTCCCGCGTATCCCTTTTTGTTAAACTTTTTAGTCACATTTCTCAGGATTAATTTTTAACTGATATACTCATTTTAATCATTTTTAATTTTTATTGGACGATGTACTACCACGCTCGTTCCTTTTTTTAAAACTCTCTTCGCATGATTATCAGACACCCCAGTCAAACATGCTAATAAAATGCTTAAAATGTACCTCCTTCTTTTTTTGTCCTCCTGCTTGTGACCTAAAGCATCTCAGAAAGTAGTTTTGTGTAATTTTGTGACTGTTGATAGTTGCGTCGCTTGTGTTAGTATCATGTTGTTTTTCTGTAGTGTATTTCTACACCCTCATCCATCTTTTTCTTTGTCGGCCTTAAGCCTTGTAGTCTGCTGTTCTCAAGTAGTATGTTCTAGCTGCTGGCTGGTTTTGTTACATTCTGACTAGATTTGTGGCTCTCAACCTTCCTAATGCCACGACCTTTTAATACAGTTCCTCATGTTGTGGCGACCCTCAACAATACAAATATTTTCTTTGCTGCTTCACAACTTCAATGAAAATGTGTTTTGCGATGGTCTCTGGCGCCTCCAGTGAAAGGGCGTTCGACTCAAAAATGGTCGCAATCCACAGATTGAGAACCCCTGGACTAGATGATTAAACCAGTTGTTTCTCTGATGCTAAAGTGTATACCATTATTTAATAAACATGCCTGATTGCCAGCCCGAAGATCTTCACTGTGATTCCACACTAAAGCGGAATCCTATAATTAATCCTAGGTGCCAAAGTCCACGCAACTTACAGTGATCACTAGGAAATATCAGAGGACGCCAAGGCTGTCGATTTTGGCCATACAACCCATTGTGTGGAGAATGGCCTTTACAAAAATGGATCTGACAGCATAAAACCGATGTGCTGAAAAAATATAATAATTTTTTTACAATAATTTATTAATGATCACAAATAATATTTTGATGTTTTTATAGAAAAAAAAGCATAGATGAGCAACTGATGCATTTTATAATTCGAATTCTTATCTTTCTTGTTACTGAAGCTGTTGGAATATGCAAGAGGATCCCGCCTATTTCTGGATACTGAAGGGACCATGGACTGCCATTGTTTTCGTGAGTAACGGAAATATATTCCATGTTTTATAGTACATAAAATATGTGATACTAGCCCCCATATATTTATTACTGGCAATCCATTGGTGATGTTCATTATTCCGTCGACCGCCTTTGTTTGGATGGTGAAAACATCACCCATTAAAGTCATTATAGTGGTTTATAAACAAATCTATACATCAAGAGAATATACTCATATACAGTATCCTGTCCCGAAAGATAAAATATTTTGGCCATGATAATGTCATGGTGGCCTGGAAAGAACGAGGATGGGGAGTCCGGTTTCGGGAAAAACCTACAGAGGCCGACATCCGCGAAGATGAATTGGCTATGGAAGCACATCCTGCTAGAGAACTGGTTTGAGAAAGGCAGATTTTCAGATGTGCCATGACGAGAGTGACGTTCTGTGAAGGACCGGCTGATAGATGACTATAAACAAATGGAACTATGAACATATACTCAGGAGTATGGATCTTTTATTGACTTTACTGTATCACACACATCAACTGGAAAGGCATAAACAGAATACACTAAATTGCGTTAATAAACAAATAATTTCGCTATCCTCATCCTGTACCAGGTCTTTTGCAGAACGTTGATCTGAACGTGGTTGTCTGTCGCCTTTTCTCCCGTCTCATGAACTTCCATAATCAAGGAGTCACGTATATTCTGTGCCCATCTCCGTGTTGGTTGGCCCCAGCTCCTCATTCCTGCTACAATGCCTTCTGCTATTTATTTATTTTTTAATCCACCATAGCGCTGGATATGATCAAAATGTTTCAGGGACCCTTTTACTGATTATCGGTAAAGCTTCTGCTGTGCTTGCTTCCGCTGTGGAGTTCTTCTTATTGTATTGCTGGGTGATCAGTGAATTTTATAATGTACTAGCTGTACCCGGCCACGCGTTGCTGTGGCATAGTTTGGCTAAATGGAAATGAAAGAAAATAGAAAACGCACGTGTCTAATACAATCATTGTCTGCTCAGATATAGAGATAGTCTTTGATCCCCGCCCACCACCACAACTAAATCCACCTACTACTATCTCCCTCATCAAAGGTTTTTGGAAAAGAAAGACAATGGAAATCGCACGTGTCTAATACAGTTAATGTCGCAATCATTCTCTGCACGGATATAGCGATAGTCTGGTTTTCCAACTTTAGAACACGCACCTTATAATTGTGTCTTTATATTAGTGGTCGTTTAAATGGTGTTATTAGCACAGTAACAAAAATGGTTATTTGGTTATCACATGCTAAAGCTGTTTGTATTTTTATAGGGGAAGGAAGTAAAGCTACAACTGTACTTGTGAATAACAAAGTAAGTCGTAAAAAAAAAGAAAAGCGGAGGTAGCGTTAGTAAAATATAAACAAATTAGGTAATGAGAACTTGAAAATCAAGCGTAAAGCTCTTTAATTTCTCTTAAATTTAAGTCATTACCCCCTTCCCTCTTCCACCGACTACTGCTCTCTCCCTCTTCGAAGGATTTGAAAATCACTAACTGGCGATATTTTGTTGTTGCTGTAACTGACATTGACATCCCCGTCCATCTGGACTAAAATAGGGAGCAGGAATTGTAATAGGTAGTGAATAGGGCTAGTGTAATATTTACCACATCATCCTTCAAGTACCAGTACAACTACTAAAATAATGTCACTGCTATCTGTGTTACCATCGGAGTAGACAGAGAGTCGTGAGCCAGAAGATTTGGTTCCGCATGGCTAGTGCTGTCGCCACAGACTGGTCAGGTTAGGATGTATAATTTCACTTGCCGACAGAAGAACGCCATAACCTTACCGGCGGTCTTCACATGAGAGCACTATGATGTAACAGCCCTGGTGTAACAACTATTACTGCTACTTTAAGTGGGTAAAGCAGTTACTGTGACTTAAAGCTCTCTCAGTTAATAGTTTGCCCCCCCCCCCTCCCCCAAATTCACCGACAACTCTTTCCCTCATTGAAGTAGTTGGGAGAAAAAAAAAACACTTGAAAAGCAAACGAACACAGGAAAAAAACACCATAATTAGGAAATGAACGCCATTGTAAACAGCACAGCTTAAAATTCCAACACAGATGAAATAACTCAATCTAAATGAAAATAAATGAAAATCTATAAAATTTCAGCGTAACCATGCAATCGGAAAATCTAACAATGCAATCATGAGTATGCGAAATGGTCAAATTTAATTATCAAATGGTTTACCCATTTACTTTTTTTTTTTTTTTTAAATATTAAGGCAACATGGCTAGTGATGTCACCACGACAGAGCCGATGAGGATATTATTTTAGTCCAGGGTAAAAAAAAATTTAACGACTGCGGATTCGAACCCAGGTCTACCGCACATGAACCCAGTGTTCTAACCATTCGACCAAGCAGCCACTTTATCGGTACAACGAAAATAGAACTCAACTATTAGACATGTGAGTTCCTACTGTGTCGCGATTAAAACACAATTCAAAATCGCAGGCAATTGTTTTCTCGTAGACAGATACTCCAGATATATTAATGAAATAGAAATCGCACGTGTCTAACACGGTTAATGCCGACGTCGAGATAGTCCTTGATTGCCCCCCCCACCCCCCCCCCCCCCCCAATCGAAGGTTGTTTGAAAAAAAAATAGAAAATAGAAATCGTGTTTAATATGGTTATTGTGGCAAATATAGAGATAGTCTTGTTTGCTGTACCACGACCTACTCTATGTATTAGTTTTAGAGAAGGCGTTGGCTGCACGTAACTCGCCGGCGAATGGTAAATACGGCGCATGCGCAATTACTAACGTGGCTATAATTAGAAATCACTAAAGTTATAAATATTAGTTGCGTATATTTTGGCATAAATTGTGGTCACCTATCTCTAACAGTGACAGGTTGAATTTCAAACCACGACAGTTCAAAATCCGGTATCACAACAAACATATCCTGAAAATTTCAGCTAAATCCGTTCAGTAGTTTCCGAGTCTATAGGGGTGAAACAAACACACAAACATTGATTTTTATATATATAGATTATTATAATTCGGGAGTCGCCGTGGCGGATCAGCTAGCGGGAGTCGCCGTGGCGGAGCGGCTAGACGCTCGCCGCGGATCGGAAGGTTGTGGGTTCGCTCCCTGGCGGAGCCGGACTTCTTTTTTTTTTTAAATGACCTTGGCTCCAGGTCGACCCTGCCTTGAGTGGGTACCGGGTGCATTGCCGGGAAGTAGAGGCGGCCGGCGTAATGCTGACCTCATCACCCATCTTGTGCCGGTTGGTCTATAAAATATAGGTCTAGCTATATATGCCTTATACGCCTAAAGGCGTTGAAAAGGGCCCTTTACTTTACTTATTAGTATATTTTAAATGGAAAAAAATAGCTTTTTTGTTTTGTTTTTTGTTGATTATGAGATAAACAGTTCATGTTATCGTTGAGTTATAGATGTGGGGCAGTTGGATGTAGTACTTTATGTTATCGTTGATTAGTGAATTAAAAATAACACTTTATGTAAATTTTGGTTGATACTGCAAAGCACTCTAAGTTATCGTTGATTAGTGGACACTAGTAAAATTCATTATCTCAGGTTTTTTTCCCCTCTGTACGTACGTAAGGAAAATAAAATACTTTGTTATTATTTATTATGAGGTGTTAGGAAAATAATTCATGTTTTTGTTGATTATTTGTTTCGGCAGATAAACTTTTTCTTTTTTCTGGACATTATACGCGTCCTAATGACACGAGTCAGAGACAGTCAGAGGCACGCAGGTAGATCTCAGTACAGGTAATTTTTGTTTTCCTCCATTATTTGATTAGTAATAATTTTTTCAAAACAATAAGCCCAGGACTGAAACCCAGTCTGAACCGTTAAGGTATGTTATATCTCATAGAAAGAATTACTGGTTGTGGGGACCTATAATTCTACTGACATGTTTGTGCAGACTATCTTGGAACAGTCTTAACATCCGATGAAAAATGCTTTGCAGAAATTAGAACAAGAATCACCAAAGTGGACTTTACAAGATTTAAAAAAAAAAGGTACTCACTAATAAGAGGTCATTTGCAGTGCGTGTCACACAGACAGTAAAGAGACACGCTGAAAAATATTTACTTGCGGCAGACATGTGGGTTTAACAAGAATGCAAAGAATATCATGGATTCATACCACACACACACACACACACACACACACGCACACACACAAAGAAGTCCTTGTTGAGATAAATAAAAGTCGTAAATTTAGAACAGTTAGTTGAAGGAATGAACTCGAGAACTTGGTAACAACAGGCACGGCTACTGAAAAGAGAGAAGCATTGAGATAAATACTTTGATGGCTTGGCTACATGGATGGGCTGAAACAAGAGTATTGCCCTGATCCATTATTCTGGTGATCGTATGGGATTGCGAAACATAACAGGTTGTGCTTGCCTGCACGGTACGTGGGGATGATGATTGTGTAAATAACCGTGGCAGAGGAAAAGCAGAGGTTGGCATAGCTAGCTGACCCCTAAAACTGAAAATCCCAATTTTTTTAATAGGTCAATTCTCTGACAAAATCATTTAAAGATTTAAAGACTGTTTAACCATGGGGGGGGGGGGGGGGGGGGAGGGGGATGGGGTCAAAACAACAGACACCATAGGACTGGGAAAATGTCCCAATCATCCCAATATGGAAAAATAAACACATTAAAAGAGACTGCACACAGTACAGAGGCATCTCCCTTTTGAGTTACACAGTGAATGTACTGCTGGAACAAATGATGGACACTCAGAAAGATTCACCTCACAGTTCAGATTACGGCAGTGCTCTGTCCTGCTTGCCCTACTATTCATAAGCTACAGTGACAAAATATGAAAGCAAACAAACCAGACAAGGACTGTATTACACCAAGAATAAGAGGGTCCAAAGCCAAACAGTCCTTATCAAAGAACTATTTTTTTTGCGGACGATTAAACAGAAATTACTACTTCAGAAATCGATGTAGTAATATAAATTAAACTGCAAGACCTTATACATGATTTAAAAAAAAGAATGATAAGAAAATTATTGTCAACAAAACAAAGGTCATTATATAGCTTAAGCAGACAAAATAATAAATATCCAGCTTACAGAACGCCATTTAAAACAAAACAAGAACTTCAAATACTTAGGAAACATAATATCATCAGCTGGCAAATCAGAAGACGAGATCGATGACCGATGTAACAGAGCAAATCAACTCATCGGAAAAAGGCACTAACTCTCAGACACAAACATGTGTGAGCAGAAACCAAAAGAGCACTTTATGACACAATGTTCTTGCCAATCCTGTGATACTAATGTGATGCCCCCCCCCCCCTTTTTTTTTTAAAAAATGCAACTGAAATAAGATTCTTGCGAAGAGCTCCTAATATAACAAAAAAGAGATAAAATCAGAAATGATGAAATCCGAAAGAAAATGAGAGTAGCTAAGCTCTGGATTTTATTAGAAAACGACAAGTGAAATGGTTAGGTTATAATATTGCATTGGCCAGCAAACAGTAAACCACCACATGCAATTATGTATAGACAAGACGGGAAGCGAAAAAAGAGGCCCACGATGCAAATGATAGACAGAGGAAATAACAGAATCTCTGTGAACCCCATTTACGAGATGGTTTCGCCATTTACCGGGAATGTCCTGGTAGAGAGCTACAGGAGGACCACAGAAGATGGAACAAAAACAACCTTGAGGAAATGAAGACCATCTTATACTACAATGAGCCAGCACACATAATTTCCTTACACACACCCCTTCTCCCCCCTCCCCCAGAAAACCCAACACTTTGATGAAGTAAATGAGGAAAAAGGAGCATGACGAGATGAGGCAGAAGAAAGAAGAAGAAGAAGAAGAAGAAGAAGAAGAAGAAGAGAAGAAGAAGAAGAAGAAGAAGAAGAAGAAGAAGAAGAAGAAGAAGAAGAAGAAGAAGAAGAAAAAAAAAAAAAAAGAAGAAGAAGAAGAAGAAGAAGAAGAAGAAGAAGAAGAAGAAGAAGAAGAAGAAGAAGAAGAAGAAGAAGAAGAAGAAGAAGAAGAAGAAGAAGAAGAAGAAGAAGAAGAAGAAGAAGAAGAAGAAGAAGAAGAAGAAGAAGAAGAAGAAAGAAAGAAAGAAAGAAAGAAAGAAAGAAAGAAAGAAAGAAGAAGAAGAAGAAGAAGAAGAAGAAGAAGAAGAAGAAGAAGAAGAAGAAGAAGAAGAAGAAGAAGAAGAAGAAGAAGAAGAAGAAGAAACAAGAACAAGTACAAAAAGAACAAGAAGGACCAGAACAAGAAGAAGAAGGGGATGAGGAGGTCGATGTGATGGAAGTGGAGAAGAGAAGCATTATGTGAATAATGTCCATGCATCTTTTCTTAGATACATTCATGTGTCTCCTTTTGAATCTACATATGTGTTTACCATAGATCTGTTCTTGTGTCTAAAATATAATCTTAAACTAAGATAAGCAGTTTTCCCTGGCCTTCATGTCTGATGTAGTAACCACTGCTGGCTCCCAATTTTTCCAACTAAACATTAATCTTCTTATCGATTCATCCTTCAGCATGTCTATATACATCATTCTTAAATTTCTTATCTATCAACTTTCTGTTGGATTCACTTTTTGCCTCTTGAAATAACAGTTGTGTTGTCTTTTGGATCAGGATCACATGGTTGACCCTTGAATATTCCCCAACACACAAAATGATTATACCTCGCCATCACCTTTTTTGTTTCTTTCAGCCTTTTTTTTTCGACTAAGGGACGGTAGATCTGAGCAACTGACCTTTTCAGATAAAGGCGAATAATTCAGAGTATCCGTGTGCATTTTGCCCATGTTAAAGATCCCTCGACAGTAGAAAATCGAAAAGAACTGGCCAAATAGCGCCTCGCCTGAGTACAATTTCCAAATGAGTAAAGCTACTTACAGGAAATGAAAATTGATAGCATAATGATGCTTGTGCAGGCACTGGGACCCTCACCAGCGCAACGGAGTTCGAGCCTGTTCGCCTGCTGTTCCTATATTCTCCTTGTATGGGAGAAGAATGAAACAGCTACGAAGTTAGTCGTGTGTAATGGAATGGGATCCTTTACAAACCTTACCAAAACAGTAAATCATTTTTACTGCCACAACTTCAATCACGCAAGCTTTCACATTAAACCATTTCGATTTATACTATTACTAAACAAAGGTGTGAGCTAGAAACGAGATTAATACACCAGTTGTCACTTTACTGAAGCTTACCGGGTACAATCGCTGATACACTTCAGACTTTTCGAAATGGCGGTTCACACAAACATTTATCAGGGGAAAGGACATCTTTGGCACGCATGTGAAACATAACGAGTTTGAGAACAACGTCTGTCAATTATGAGCTTAGTTCCGTCTAGCCATCGACGTTGGTTGATCATTTTTACAGCATCAGTCTTTCATTGTTCCATTGTCTATCATCGTGTGCCGTTGGTTTCATAAACACAAAATGTGATCGCCTTTATAGTTTAATTTCGGTTAAACAAATGAGATCAATAAACTGAATTATTCACCTGCACCTTGAAGCGAGGCTACAACAGTCAGTTTGCTGGCAATGACTGGCCAGAAAAAATAGTATTGTCATTTGAATAATCTGCTGAGAATGCCCATGTCAGGCGATTCTTCGCCACATTTACTCCAACAAGCTTTTCCCATCTGTTCAGAATGTATCCTAGCATGTAAGGTGTTGTTTTTCAAGTTGTAGGTAATATCATGCCCGTTTGAGTTTTATGACTTGTTTATCTATTTTGTTCCTGTCAAGTCAAATGTAATTCTTTAAATAAAATATATGTCAAGGGCTAGTGATGTTTTTAGAGCTTGGGGGGGGGGCAGGGGGGGGGTGGGGGGGGTGGGGTGGGGGTCATAGTAAAAAGTAATTGTGCCGGCTATCAGTTCAACAAATCTGTTGTTGTCTCCACCATGAAGGCTCTCTGCAAGGGATCTCTGATGCGGTGTGACTCTCCTTTGAGCTTAATATTAATAATAATAAAAATAATAATAATAATAATAATAATAATAATAATAATAATAATAATAATAATAATAACGAGGAGGAGTAGAAGGAAGAAGAAGATGAGAAAAGCATAAGACCGTAATCAACTCACATAAAGTCGTCTTAACATTTGTTTTTGCGTGTTAGTTATTTAGTTAGCTAGTTAGTTAGTTAGTTAGTTAGTTAGTTAGTTAGTTAGTTAGTTAGTTAGTTAGTTAGTTAGTTAGCTAGTTAGTTAGTTAGTTAGTTGGGTTATCCTCATTGCACTCCGGACATGTCCATAGGTGCTCAGATCCTCCCCTCAGTATGAACCCCAACGTCCGATGGCTAATAGTACCAGTTCTATGTTGATTAACAAGTCTTCTGGCGTGTCTGTGTGTGCGTCTCGTTTTTTGCTGTGCCGATCTTAATTCCCAAGTCTGCTATTCTGGCGAGTGATGTGGATTCACTGCCACCAAAGTCCTCTATCCTTCCCATTTCTCTGAGGGCATTGATAATATCAGCATGATCCATAGGCTGACTGTCGGTAGTGATAGCGGATCCAGCCTACCTGTCAGCTCTTTCATTTCCATCGACGCCTGCGTGTCCCGGAACAAAGATAAAGGTGACTCCACGCACAGTGGACTTCTGTAATGATTCAAGCCATTGTCTTCGCACTGACCCTGCCTGAACCCTCCGGATCATACTCATTGAATGTTTTTGCGTGTGGTTCACACAATGTCATTTTCATTTTTTGGTCACATTCTTTTACCTGTGTGCATTTTGATCGGTT